AGCACGAACTGGGTCGACCGTATGGGGGTGAGAATTAATTAAAATGCGCCACGGACTTGCAAACAAATACAGATAACAAAATATGGGTGGATCTCTAGCGTTACGATTCGCACGGTTGGAGCATGTGGTTTGCTTCTTCTGAGTACTCGGTTCGATATCTTCCGGAGCACATTAAAATTAGGGCAGAATGGAAAACAGATGATTGTGTAGACCCTTGAGAAGTAGGGCATTGAGACAGTGAACCTGTGTGTGCAATTCGTGGCATATTATAAGAGATGATGGAAGCGAGCTTTTGCTTCCTTCTCTGGCGCGTCAACAGGACAGTTGGTCTGATCGTTTGGGCGAACTGTCCAATTCACCTCTGGGAAGATTCACAGTGGCTGCATGATATGAACTAGCAAAGGTAGTTCCCTTCACTTCTTTGAATTGAGAAGAGATTTTCCGTCTATTCGCTCCGTTGAACTGCAGTAGTGCTGCAGTTTGCAGCAGACATCCAGTAGCTTGGCCAACTAGGGAAGGGATAGTATGCGAATCATATTTCACCGTGAGAAACATAACTTCACCGTCCTAAATCTTTTATGGCTAACTGCAGTCGCACTTTGGTCATTACAAATAAGACATTGCAGTCGAAAATCCGACCTAGATATCTTTCAGCTACCTTGTCGATCACACTAACGGGACAAAGACCTGTGGTTAGGAATATGGATAAACTCGTCGCTTGAAAATGGCACACTCACACTAGAATTTGACTGTATGATCCAGTAGCTTATGAATATATTCCTTTTTACTATACTGACAGTCTAAAATAGTTCGGCTCAAACGCAGTCAGCCTCATCACCAAGGATGACGGGGTATGCACTAATACTTCGGACAACGAATAGTGGGCAAATGTAGCTTGTTGTAGTTACGCTTACTTAAACAGGTCTACCCTAGCAACACTGGCAAAATCTACGCATCTTTTGCTATCGGAACTCTGACTCACGGCCACCGATACGGCGAAGTCTCCCAAAGCTGATGGACAAATGCTACAATGGACAGTGTACAATGATTGCTAGTTAAGAAGCATTGATTTACAAGCCCCGTTCAGTGGTCTGACGCGTTAGCGAAAAAGGCTAATGAAAAAATCATTTAGTAGTTTTCTTGTCAAAATAATGGACTTATTGTTTTTGATGCACTAGTCTGCACTCCGAATGTTCCATATCTGGAACAGGCGAGAAAGTAAATTCAACCTATTTCCCGGGAGTAGGCTGGAGAGCAGCTTCAAGTAACAAAGTGTAACTGCCGGAGTGAGTCATCAAACCGACTTTTAACTATGGCTAGCGTGGGTGCAGTAACAAGCCATTCAGGAAGAGCATTTCGTGATTAACATACATGAATGAAAAAGAAATTTCCAGGTCATACCGGGCATCTGTACAGTTCTGCTAACTTCAAGGATTGGCCTCTAATTATTGTGTTACTACTGAGTTGCAGTAAAGAGCGCACCCATGATTTGGATTGTGTGAAATCAAATAGGCCATAAACAACTCGCCTCGTAGTGGACGATACCGGCAGGTGTATACTCCCAAAGGTTTCAGTCTCTGTTCGTAGGGAAGATGGCGCATTCCAACGACGCATTTAGAAGCCCGACGTTGAGGTTGGTCAAGTGCATTAACGTCGTGCTTCCGTCATGTCTGCCTGGCTTGGATTGCGCATTCGACATTGGGACGGACATACGCATTCAACATCCATCTGAAAATAATAGTGTCTAGTTGTCCAAACGCCCGTCGTAATAAGCCGATGTGTTGATTACCAGTTTTCGAGGCGTATGTGTATTGCCTGTAACAACCCAAGTTATTCTGAACAAGGAAGCCAAGGTCGCGTTCGACGGATGACGGCTGCAGTACTTGCGTTCCTAGCATATAGGAACAGATACTATGGTGTCGTATGGAGAGCAACTTGCATTTATCCACGTTGAACTGTACCAGATTTCGCATTGACCAATCTTATACCGTATCTAGGGAACATTGAAGTAAATCCTGTTCGGCATCCGCCGCCTGTATCCGGCGCCAAATCTTGAAATCGTCAGCAAACAGCAAATATTTGAAACGCTATTCAGTGCTACGTTGTTGACGAATACGCTTCCTTAATGAACACACTTGGGAAGCAACTTGTTTGTGAGTTGTATTTGGTGCTTTATTTAGATCGATAAGCGACGGAAAGAACCGGCATAGATGCTTATATCTTCCGCCTACCTCCCAGCGAATATTGTTTGTGAGCTCAAGGAATAAGTTTATAATCGATGGTCATTTCTTGTCCAGATACCCAGGGATAACCTGAAGTAATCGTACAGAATAAGAGCAAAACTCAATCTTATCCTCCATCTCCACGCGGAATACCTTCGTAAAGGCTGTGTTCTGTTTGACGAACGTCGTACCAACATCTGGGAATTCGTATTTCAACGGTGCCATAACGAGGTCAGCCGCCACAACTGATTCGATTAACAACGATAACGGACTCTGACCACAAAGTCTGTCGGTGAACTATGGCCCACTTGAAGCCCTTTGAACGCTCGACATAAGGCGGCAGGTCATCCAAAGTCTTCGCAACCTACTAAAAGCATTACAGAATTATGGAATGTAGCTTGAATGGCAGAATAAGACTCAAGCTCTGAGTCGGCTCGCGGGTATTGCAGAACTGTGGGATTCCACGGGTTGAAGGTCAAGACCAGTCAAAGCCTCCCGGTGCTCCTCAGACTCATCGGGAGGGTGGATCAAGGCACTTATTATGTGAGTGAGAAACTAGTTGCTAACTAATCACAACGGATCCACTTCAGCCACGTGAGGTTAACGATAGTGTGTACATTCTGAAACGGTATTTCCTCCGGTCCAATGTGCTTGCTGCTGCCTGAGCCATCTGAAACATGTTGGATCGCCAGAGGGCCAATCCTACCGTTGATGATCCTGAACCGGAATAGATGCCACTGAAGTCTTTCATATTCCCTGGTATCTAATAAATTCATTCATCACTGCCGAGAGCTTCGGATAATTCCTTGAGGTCTAGTACTACTAAGCTGCTCCATTTTAGCGAACACAAAGAATAAGTGATGTGTTACGATTTATAACTATCGCATTGTTACTGATTACGGATTACATGTTGAAAGCAGCAAGATATCTCCGAGATCTCTGTGTAGCTGCACTTAAGATCATTCAGGTACAAAGACCGGTTTTGTTAGAGCATGCTCGATATATGGTATTACATCGGCAAAGTGTTTAACCAGAATTTCTTAAATTCCGACACCGACTTTGCTTCAACTACGTGTTGCGACTGGTTGTTCTGTACATTCAGCACTCTCTGTTCGAAACAGAGTTGATGGATGCTTTGTTTCAAATTCGGTACTATAAGTTTCTATCGGTGTCCTCGTGTGTTGCTTGATTCGCACAACTGTAGCAGCGGCATCAACATGGGGTAATCACCGATATATAATACCAGTGCGTCATGATGAGATTGGCTCGCGATCGACGAAAACTGTAAAACTCTAGTCTCTTACAGCTCTCTTGGTACGACCAAACTTGTAAACTGGAGATCAGCCTGGTGGCGAAATGCTTTACCCGATCAGTAGGCGGGTGAGCTGTACTCTACCATAGGTTGTATTCTAGCGACGAAGAGGCTAGTGGCAATCTCTTCGGACCAAGTGCCGAAGCTGCGTTTGAACGCCTAAGATATACGAAGGCCGTTTTAGTAAAGCCTATTCGCGTTGTTCATTGATTTTAGTTCGCCTCGTGATAGTACACCGAGATCTTTCGCGAAAGGCGCGGGATGCAACTACTGTCTGTCCCCAGTGTATGTTCGACTGTGCTCACACTTACCCAGCCACATGAATTTCGAATTGACCGGGTTTATCAGAAGGCTGACCACTGCAGATCTCATTCAGAGGTGATCGAGATTCCGCTGAAGCAGGTCACAGTCATTGGGGGTGTGGATTAATCTCCACACCTTCAAGTTATCTATAAATAACGCACAAGACGAACGGAAAAGTTGTGACCCATCGTTCATCTGAGTCAAGAACAAAATCGGCCCCAGTACAGTGACTTGGGGCACGCCGATCTTCTGACCATTTCCTCCAAGTTGCCCACGTACAACCTGTTTTGGTGGCCCAATGTTTGTGAAATCCTTATCAATGAAAACATGCATAAGCAGTATTTTTGTTCGTCGCAGTCAGTCGACAATCCAGATAAGTCAACTACCTATCCGGAAAAGCACCAGACGGCCGTTTCTCCTTATTGGGGCTCCTCAGTGGTGCGCATCCTTCGGTCCTCTACGGAGGATCGAACCCATGAGTGCTAGTAGCTTGTGACCACTAGTAGTAGTAGTTTCCAATTAGTCAGAAGTGGGCTGTACTACGGTTTTACTGCCAACTAGGGATTTTAACAGCACCGTATAAACAAACGGCCGTCTGCAAGTTTAGTTTTACTATGGAAGTGTGTCTTTACTCTGGTTGACTGTGCATGGTTGTTGTCATTTTAGTATTTGAACAGTGTGTGAGGAATTTTGCCGTTTGATATTCTCGGTGGATCGACCCGCGGAACCGGATTAGAGTGTAACAGCAGTTGACTCTAGGTTCATAAGATCATATCAGACGCACCGGAGCAGCAATAGCTTTTCGTTTATCATCAAATTTCGGGACATAATGGGTATGAATGAGGTATTCACTGCACCACCCGTTAACTGTTATAGTTATTCCGTTGCGCAACCGACTGTTACAATCGGAGAATGCAGACGACAAAGTTTGTTGGACTGGAACCCACCACCTAAGCAGAAGTTATTTATAAGGCTTATAGGCAGTATTGCACTTTCGACCTGTATCTTTCACCCCGAAATTCAAAAACATTAGACAGGGATAGGAAGATGAACAGCAAACCGCATATATAGGCAGCGCGTTTAAGGCTGTCAATCAGATTATTGAAGGAAGTACTGTGCAAATCGTCAATATGGATATGGCTTCAAATGATATACTAACATGTATGAACGAGTATTCGAAGTACGGAAGTCTGGACTCTGTTTTAGTTCGGTTAGTATTAACTTAATCCAGTACATGGCCATTTCGCCAAGTGGTCATAAGCTTGGCAAAATTTAGCGATCGATGCCAGTAATGGAATGTGAGTGTTTGATGAAAGCATGCATCAAAGCTACCCGGGTTCCTACTTGCCGACCGACCAGTGTTTCACTTGTATGTCGCGGCAGGCTGATTCACATCCTACTGCAGGTGCTTTTTTCTAGTTCTACATGTAACTGCATGCAATCAAAAGTGTAATGCTCGTAGCGAGCACATGGGACACCGAGTAATTTTCAGAGCCATTGAGGGAAGCTGGTTTGTCTTATCCAGAAGATCAACTAACTTTTCCGGTGAAGACAGCGATGTCATGTCACTTCCGAGGTGTAGTGGTCGCTAAGAAAATAACGTTATCTTTGTTTCCCTGACACAACAGAACCATCAGATTATTTTATTTTTGTCACTTTTGGTTGAATCACTGTTGCATCCCATCACTACTGTTTTCATTTTGGCTAGGCAACATCGCCAACCGCATGATGCCGAATGAACTGCCATTGGGCAGTTGGTGTAACGTGCCCCTTCGAAAACGTTTCAATATACGACTGGTTTTGATATTGTTTGATCGCATTAGTTAGAAGAAGCAGGCTTCGAAGTCGGGACCATCGGGATGTTAGTTAGGACCTATAATCCTTGAACCACCCGGGTTCAAGTCATGCTAACTCTACCTGATAAGACAAAACAAGGTCGAAGCCGGTCGTAGATGGTAGTGTTTTCGCGCGGGCAGCACTCAATATTTACCTACCTCATATATTCCTATCCCCATGATCGAACTGACCATGGTTCTTTTCGATTGAAAGCATGGTCCACATGGGGTTTGCGCGTCCCAATCCATTCACGCCACGAACACACCACAAAAACGCCCCTCCAATCAGCGTTGAACACAAGAACTGAAACGTATGGTCCTCAAACCTTGCTTCTCTCAGATTAATGAATCGAAGCTTCACAGACGGCAAGGGTCTAAACATTTCTGCCAAAGTAGTTTCGGACTATATAAGAGCGCAAAAGCAATAGGGGTCACGGTACTTCCTAAAAGAACGAGAATAACAACGCTTCTGTACCTGCAGCGATTGTAAATTTACAGCCGGTTCTGGCTATCGTTACTTTTTATATAACTGATCAAAATATTTGGATCACTTGAAGTTTAAACAATCTATGATACGTATACTTCACCCCATTGAACGAACTGACCAACACCATTCGTCGCTAGCACCTGGGTTCAAGTGTCCTCATCATCAGCTAACGGACTGGTGTCCCTCAACCAGTACAGGTACAGTACTGGGGATCAGTTTAGGACTTATCCACATTAACAAACCTCCCCTGCTTCTTCGCTCACCTTGCGCCATGTTCGCAGACAGTCTGAAGCTTTGGAGAATAATTGATGTTCCCGACAACTGGCGTACATCATCATGACTTCCACCTTCTCTCCAGGCTATTCGCATATATCGATCCACCGTTTACCCCAGTGAACTTTTATATATGAGCTTGGAGAAGGGTATTGAATGGTGTACGTTCACAATGGTTGGCCAACCGCCACCTCCCACACTTTCCGTGAAGGATCTTGGCGTACCTTTACGCTTCAATTTCAAGTCAGTAAACAACACGAACAAGCTAAATGGAAACGGACAGCACATGCTTTCGGCGCTGAAACGTAGCTTCTGCATCGGGTCTGAAGATATTGCTACGCGCCTCTTCTCTTTCAGCATAAGGCCGATGCTGAGTACGGATTACCCATTCATTGTCTGCTCACCGGTGGCGAGGTGCAAATACTGGAACTTGTTCTGCATGCAGCTACCAGGCTCATCTCCAGTTTGGGGGATGTGACGTACGAAGACCGATGCAGATGACTAGAGCTGTACACCCTGTCGTATCGTCGGTTCGGAGTTGAGCTTATCCTGACGCATGGGATATTGCATCTGGGTCAATACCGCATGCTGGGGCCATTGTTTCAAGTGCACGCGCCAAGCAGCACTTGCCGGCATAGGTACAAGCTGATAGTAACGAAGCTAAAGCGGATAGCTCGCCTTCTTTGTCTCGAGCGCCAAGTGGTGGAACTTTGGAACGTTTTGCATGCAAAATTGTTTAGGCGAAGTCTGTGTCGGAATTCAAGCCATTCCGTAGACACCCAATTTAAGGATTTCAGACACGCGGGGCGCATCACACCCGAATAGCGTTTGGAGAAACTGTAATATGCAGCAGACACACGGGGCTCAGTGACGTGACTCTGCGCAGGTGCCCGAACTAAGTGCGAGGGAGTAGTTTAGAAGCACGTCTACTGGCTCTGCATTGTCAGCATTCAATATGCAAAGACGCTCTCTTCATGGAAGTCACACCAACGCAAACCGATGAGTCAATGCCGATAGACTACCAAAGTGCTTTTTGGCTGTAGGCTGGCTTCTTTGACATAACTCACAAATACAGTCACCAACTGTCCTTAATCGGCCCACACTCTGCGCGTTGTGATGCCGCCCCGAATCCTACAGACATCGCTTGCCATAATGAGTGATGGATTTGCGCACACTGGATGATAGAATTGTTGAATCACAGAGGTCAGCGGAGCTGCTTGGCGGCTACTTGCCAAGCCGTACATAACCATCAACTGCAGCAAGCGTGTCGTGATAATTCTGACACAAACCAGTCAGCACTGTGATAAGACAAATTGCAGTCACAGGTGAAAGGTTGCAAGGACTGACCGAGCCAAACGATACACTCGTAATGAACAACTGTGAGTGCGCGTGATTTGTTCCGGTCTGTGAATATCAACACATTGTATAAAAGGGACTGCTCACTACCCGTCTCCGCTGTAGTGAAACAACAAAGTCATTATGGTGAGTGGGTATGTTTCTGGCCTACTCTCGCGTGGTTGCTGCTAATTCAACCACTTTTTTGTGGCATTGCTCAGAGTGGTGTCATCAGCGCGTGTATGCATGGGTGTGTGCGTTCATTTGATGGCGCATCGTATTGACACTTGCACAACACACTTGTGACAGCCTCATGTAATCATTCTCCATTTTTCAGCGTTCGTTAAATTTCTCGCTGATTTTCCTCCTGTCGGTGATTGCGCTGGCCAGTTGGTGTGCAGTAGCACACGAGGTGAGAAAGCGGCATTGGGATTTGCATTGGTGGAAGCGACACCATGGCATAGGTCATCACGACGGCGGAGGTGGTTGGGGCGGAAAACATGAACATGGTGACGGCGACAAAAATGGATGTGGTGAAGGAGATGGGGAGGGACATGGTCATGGTGGTCACGGAGGTGGACATTCCCACGGCGGTCATGGTGGTCATGGCGGGGGTCACGGAGGTGGACATCATCATGGCGGTCATGGTGGTCATGGTGGCGATCACGGAGGTGGACATCATCATGGCGGTCACGGCGGTGGACATTCTCACGGCGGTCATGGTGGTCATGGCGGCGGTCACGGAGGTGGACATCATCATGGCGGTCACGGTGGTGGACATTCTCACGGCGGTCATGGTGGTCATGGCGGCGGTCACGGAGGTGGACATCATCATGGTGGTCACGGTGGTGGACATTCTCACGGCGGTCATGGTGGTCATGGCGGGGGTCAAGGAGGTGGACATCATCATGGTGGTCACGGTGGTGGACATTCTCACGGCGGTCATGGTGGTCATGGCGGCGGTCACGGAGGTGGACACCATCATGGCGGTCATGGCGGTCACTGGGGTGGACATTCCCATAGTGGTCATGGAGGTGGACATTCGGGTGGTGGTTGGGGAGGCCGCTGATGATAAGGTGAGTAGAGAACTCATGTGATTAGTTTGGGTTTTACACAGTGCCTAGTACGCGTTCTCTCTTGATTCCCTATAGTAATGGTTAGTAATAATGTCTAGTCTGCATGGAACGTCGCAGTTGACCTATCTCACTTCTATTCCTCGTCATTGCTCCTATGCTCACATTTCTTCGTTGTCATTGCAGATTATCTATCAATGGAATAGTTGATGAGCTAGTTCTTAGCGCCCGGTTACTATGATTACCAATGAAATCAGAGTGGCTATTTTTACCCTGTTCCCATGCGGCTTCATCTGCAAATAAATTATCTTTTCGTCACTACCACAGCGTTGCTTCTATCCTTTTACCCAGGTTGGATTTTATGGTAGACAAGTTGACTACTTTGGAACTTTCTGATAGGTACGTCCGAAAATTCATTAGCGCAAATCGACTATATACTGAAGGAAGCCTTTTTCGCGACTAATCAAATTGAGAAATAGTAGGTTGTGACATAAGATACTGCTTTCATCCTAGGACGTGATTATGTTGTGACCATATACGGTTGTAGTAAAGTTGGTTGTCCTCGGTTAATTGCCCACAAAATGGATGATGACTTGAAACGCTAAGTAGTTTCGGAAGGATCTTATTGTCATTCCTCTAGCATCCTCAAGGATATTGTTTTTTGTTAAGCCTGCAAACAAGACAGCTGGACCATCAAGCTGCATGTCCAAGGCTTGAGAGACCAGGTTGGTTGATTTTCATGTTGAATCATTTCTTATGTGTGCGCATGGTATGTGAAGGAACTGAATAGTCATCCAGTTTAACCCAGTTTCTTCGCACTCCATAGTTATATCCATGTGTGACCTTGATATGTTGAGATTCTCCGAAGAAAAACCGCAGTGAATCGCAGGAGCTTAGTTGATACCTTATTTGAGACGGGTTAGACTCAAAAAGAGAAGCGTCAGTTGATCGGTTGTCCGAGTAATTGACTCTCCTGTGTATACAACAATATGGTAATTAGTTTAGCATGCATAATGTGGTGCTCTACTATGGATTAGTAGGTGTCGAAATGAGCGGTCGCTAGTAATCTAGTGAATCCATGGCTCGCAGCGCAAGAAGCACTTATGAAGCACAAATTGATCTTCACTAACGTTGTATGTAGGTTCGTTGCAGTTAGACACAGGCAGACAGACACAACACATCCAGAAACTTGCTTTACGGCTGTTTCGTCCTATTGGGAAACAGAGGAAACGAGAGTCAATAAGTTACCACGAAGAAACTATGCAAATGGACCCCAGTTTTTTGTTTGACTTTTATGGTATCTAGACATGCTTGGCATCATCCTGTTCCGGATTTGCCTGTCACTATGGCCTCCACGAAGACAGCCATGAGACGCCTGTGCCTACAGAGGGACCATGGGTGCCTCGCGCTGCAAAACCCACGGATCCAACCACACACCCCATATCCAGTGTAAACCCGAGGGAATAAGACAGGGAGGCATGTGGATGGGAGCCACGTTGAATAAACGGAGCCGGCTCACAATCCTTCACAGGCATAAATAAGCACGCTGGACCGTAGTCCGCTTCACACTGGACGGGACCACTCTTCAAGCCTATTATATATATATATATATATATATATATTGTTAGCAGTTTTTCAGCAGCCGCTCTATATAATGCTCAAAGTTTGGCCAACAACAGTAACCATGTGCCAGCGCCTTCATTCTGTTCACACTGGGCTGTGCGTCATGCAGCTCTCAGCAACTGAAGCTATAGTTGAATGAAAATTATAGTGTTGCTCATCCCAGCCCTGGCACCCAAAGACCGCGGTTTCGTTCTGGTTGGGATTCATCAGTTGGAGATAGCCTGAGTTGGGCTGGAACTCAAAGCCTAGTGGCTCATGGTGGATTCTCCCAGTCCAACTCTGCATTCGTTTCCGCTTGACCAAGCGTTGCTCGCGGATCTCAGTGGCATAGTGCTTATGGCGTCAACCACGAGCCACTAGGCTCTGAGTTCCAGCCCAACTCAAGCTATCTCCAACTGATGAGTCCCAACCAGGACGAAACCGCGGTCTTTGGGTGCAAGGGTTAGGATGAGCAACACTATAATTTTCATTTTACTTACGGTCTTTTTGGTCGGAATGACCAAGGTCCACCTCAAGTGAACCGATGTCTCAATAGAGGTTGCTTGTGGCAACCCAACCGCCAGCGGATTCTCCAAGTCCAAGTTTGAAGCTGTAGTTTTTCTGATGGAACTGCTCGCGTGCCTCAAAATATACAGCCATCGTAGTAACTGAACTCCTTACTCCGACAGGCGAATGGTTTCAGTTCCTTTGACATGCTTCTACGCCAACTGGTCATCAAGTGCGCTTTCACTCCAGGGTCCCGGTCCGTCAAGCGCCGCACCTCGTCACTCCGAATGGGTACTTTTTTAAGGCATTGCATCAAATTGATAAATTCCATGGGTTCACTATTCGCTTTTTGCCATACTGCTGCGGGTTTTGGCTAAGTGTATCGGCAATGGTATTATTTTGTCCGTTAACATAAAGAAGTTTGTAGTTATAGGCGGTCAAAGATAGGGCCCACCTTTGTATTCGAGGCGAAGATATCTGTTGTATTCCTTCCTCCACACCCAGAAACGAAAGAAGTGGTTTTGATTGTGTAAACATCAAAATCTCTTCCGCAGACATACTGGTGAAATTGCTTGACTCCGAAAATAATCACTAAGGCCTCTCTGTCCAGTTGGGAGTAATTGCTTTCAGCAGGTTTCAGGGTACGGGAATCAAGAGCGATTAGAAGAAGAAAACCGTTATCCATTCGCTGGCAAAGGACTGTGCCTACTCGACGTGGGGAAGCGTCCCACTGCAGCACTAGAGGTCGGCCCGGAACCAAATGCACGAGATACGGGAAGGCGCTGATCACCATGTTTGCATCTGTGAAAGCTTTTCTTTGATCCGGACTCAAAGTCGAAATCTTTCCCTTGTGCAACGGTTCGTACAAGGGTGCAAATACTGTTGTGGCGTTAGGTAAGAAGCGAGGACGATATTCCTAAAAGCGACTGGATTGCAACCTCATTATTGCGTTGAGGTGCGACAAGGATGGACTTTAGTTTGTCTTCTAACACGTGCAATCCGTTTTTATCGAGACGGTAAGCAAGGTAACGAACAGAATCTAAGAAAACGTACTCTTAGACTGCTTGAGTTGGAGTCAGCTCTGTTGTAGACTTTCGCGCACAGTGGATAGCGTTTGTTAATGTTCCGCGATTCTAAGTCCTGTAATTAGAATATCATCAAGATAGCCGTAAGCGAAATGAATATCTGCTCATGTTATCTATGATGCTTTGGAATACCGCTGGGGGCGAATGGATTCTGAAGGGCAGACGTTTGTACTGGAACAGGCCCATGTGCGTACATATCGTAGCGCATGAAAAACAGGTCTCGTCTAACACAATTTTTAAGTATGCTTGACTGAGGTCGATCTGTGTGAACTTTTGTTCGCCTGCCAGCTTAGCATACAGATCCTCTATCCGAGGTAAGGTTTACTTATCTAGAATTAAACAACGATTAACAGTTAGCTTATAGACACCGCAAATACGCCCAGAACCATCCGGATTCAGAACTGGAACTATTGGTGCTCCCCACTCACGGTATTGGATTGGTTCGATGGTTCCTGCTGATTGTTTTCTCTGTATCGCGTCTTGCACATTTGATCTCAGGGAATAAGGGAGGGTACGTGCCCGGAAAAAGCGGGGCTGCGTTCTCGGTCATAATTTGATACTAGCCTGATACCGGTGAAAGTTTCTTAGTAGCTCATCAAATAGGTAAGAATATTTGTTGGGCACATCCTCCAAGCGCTGATTAATGGACTTGAACTTCACTGTCTCTACCGTAACCGGGAGGCATTTAATCCAGTCACGCCCGAGTAAGTTCGGACAATCATTTCTCCCCAACATATGCCTGTAAGGTCCGCTTCTCCCGATCGTAATTGTCATGAACAGTGCATTTCCCAGGACTAGTATCGGCTGCCCATTGTGCGTCCGCAATGTTGATTCACAGGGAGATGACTTGGGTAATCTTTTAACTGATGCAGCACTGATTATGGTAACTGAGGCCCCAGCATTAACTTCCATTTTAACCAACTGGCCTATTTCCAACTACACAGTGTAGAGTGGGTGAATGCAGCAGATGCCCGACGTTGCGTTCCAGATCGTGGTGGGCTGGTCTTCTTCGTCTGAAGACTGGACGACCTTCACGGTCTACTTAAAAAGCGTGACGTCGTGTCTGTGCAAGCTTTAGATCGGAAAACTAGGGCCAACTGCCATAATTTTCCACATTGGCGGCAGATACTCTGTTTATGACGACATTTCTCGACTGATAAATGCTAAGTTCCACATCGGGAACAGGTAAAAAGCAATGTGGACGGTCTCGGGGTAACATCTTTCGGTTGACTGCTTGGATAGTGTCTGTATGAGGTTACGAGGAAAAAGCTGCTAACTGTTTATGGACATCCTCCAGCTGTCAAACAACATTGCAGGCCTTCTCCCAGTTCATTGTCATCTCATCGTCTGACAACAACCTTTCACGAGCCTGTTCGTTACGGATACAGGATATCAAGCACTGTAAAGCAATCACCTCTTCAAATTCGTAACTGGAATTTCATTATACCGACACTCTGGTAAGACTTGCTGAATCCACGCGATGAAATCAATGACACATTCTTCAGGGTTTTGACGCAAGGTCGAGAAAGAATACCGCGCAGTGTATGTGTTCAGTCGTGAACCCCATAACCCGCTGAGGACTTCTAACGCACTGTTGACTGTCTGCTCGCCAACATGAATGGCATCAAAATGTCTTTGGCCTTCATCTCCCAGAAATTGTCTCAATAATTTAATTGTGTGGCTCGCTGAGAGTACCGTGTTTAAATGCAAGACAGGTAGTAGCTCCAAACAATCCAAAAAGGTGCGCTTCCAGCGGTTCCATGTAGATGTTGTTGGTTTCTCAGGAGAAATATTCCAAAGTAAGGTAGATGGGTGCAACATCACGGTAGTTTAACCTCATCGCCAGATGCTAAGTATGGCCCGATAGAGGGGACAGAACGCGCACGTGCATTATGGAATCGAGTCACTAAAAGCACCCTGCGTTACCGTGGCTAGAAAAGCCAGAAGACTAATCAATGAAATAAGGAAAGTAGGGCAAGGTCATTCTCAACCAATCAGGTGAGGGCCTGTGCATCCAGTGATCATGAGCTCGCGAACATATTAACCTCGTTTTTGACGGTTATTTGTCTAATAATCGCATGTCTATATCTAGTCCCTCTTTAACTTGTGCTGATTGCTTG